GGAATATAAAGAAGAAATGATTCATTGGGAGGCAACAACTGTTAATGAGTGGAGCGGAAGCCAAAATACCTCCATTGTTACCAAACTTATGGCCCAGAAAATATATTTTATTTGAAAAATATAAATTAAATTATCAATTTTGATTAATTACTAACATAAATAAATCTTCAATTGAATAATTTTGACACGTAAACTAGATAATAGTTTAAGTATGTCTAAATGCACTATAGTTATTTTTTAATTTTAACTTTTTCATGAAAAAAATGGCAATGAGTTATTTTTATTAAAGAAAAGAATTAAGCATTCACGCATGTTGATCAAAGGATTATCTCCATATTTAGGCACAATAGTTGTATGCCTAAATACATTTATGGTTACTTATTTTTTCATAAAAAACCGACAATGGGCTATTTTTATTAAAGAAAAGAATTAGGCATTCACACATGTTGATCAAAGGATTATCAAACAAGGTGCTTATATAGGGACTTTTGATACATCCAATATAGATATTTTTGTTCGCAGATCATACATTTGTGGTAAGAACTAGATTAGATTAATCCAAATTCGTGCACAATTAACGTTAATGAGAAAAGTATTTAATACACACTTCCGAGTTAATTTAGAAAATTTTTTTTTACAAATTATTTCAATCCTTTGGTGGTCTATTAAAAGATGTATTTACAATTTTACTTATTGCTTTTATTATGTATTTTGAACCCAGTAATACCATTGGTAAATGTCTTAAGAATTTCTCCAAAAAAGTTTTTAATAAGTGAAAAAAATATACTACAAATATTGTTTTGCTTACTATAACTAATGTAATGGATTTCATGTATATATTATATTTAAAACATTTAAGGAAATATTTCTTGCGATTGGAGACACTGGACTTGGTAAAAGCTTTACAGCCGGACTATTTGGGTTTACTGCAAAAGAGGGAGGCAATGTAAATTCAACGACGAAAACTGTGGACATATATAAAAATGAAGAATATAGATACATTGATACTCCTGGGTTTAACGATTCCAATGTGACAGCGAAAGATGACAATACGAAACTTAACATCTTATTCAAAATGCAAGAAGAAAATATCAACTTTGTGCATACAATATTCTGGTTCGTCAAATGTGATATCAAAGTAACACAATCACTTAAAAAACAAGCAAAATTTATCAATGACCTTGCAATAAACAGCAAAAGTAATGTCTGGGATAATACAATTATTATTTTTAAAGGGATAAAAGAAAATTTAATAGAAGATCCAATCAAGGAAGCTATCAGGGAAGCCAATAATAACAATAACTTGTTAGTTGAACCCCCTATCTTACCTGTTTATTTGTATGAAAAACTTCAACCAGACAGTATCGTTCATATGCTTAATCTAACTGACGAAATATTATGCGACTTTGGAATCTATAAAGACAAAAATAAGATAAGAGATAAATACAAGGAAATTATACAGAAAAATCACCACAAAGACCATCCAGTCCAAATTGTCTTTGATGATGAAATGTGCATCAAGTGTGGAAAAAAAACTGACAAAAGGTTGTCAGGAAGATTCCCATGCCATACCAGTGAAAGTCTTGAACATGGTGACATAGAAGAGTATAATTATAATACGATATATAGGCACACTGGCCAATTAATAACTGTACAAGACCATGGTTGGGACAAAGCAGATAGAATTGTTAGGCAAGTGCCACTTTTTGGTCTATTCGGTGGTATAATTACCGGCATAGGCAAAGAAGCCACCCAGAGAACGGAATGGTCTTGCTGTCAACGTGCCTATGGGTCTAGAGGATGTAAGGAAGAGCATTCTACTGGAGTACGCTATAGCTGCTGTCATAAAGACGTAAATACAAAACCACCAGGCTGCAAGAAGGTTTGCAAATATTGCGGTAAAGCTTGGGGAAAATTGGAGGGCTGCACTAATCATTCACAATATGTTTTTGTTAAGTAAAATCAAACTCCAAAATTTATTTCTTTTTTTATTATTTTTTTTTTTTTGCGTGATTATTAGTGTTAATATAGTTATAAGTGAATTCGGTAACTCTGAGAAAATTTAAATGAAATACATTAATTCTGTAATTTTGCTATTGCTATGATTATTTGATTATGTAACGTGATTTTTGCAGTGATCAATATGCAGAATTTCATCATAATTCCCGGAAAGAAATTTTTACTCTTGACATTTTTTATAGTGTTTAAAAGTAAATGGGGTGCCCTGCTTTTTGCATACGATTTTTATTTCAAATATACATAGTGAAATAATACCCAAGATACTTATTTTAGATGCTCCAAATTCACAAATTAAATGAACCATTATTTAATAGTGAATACTTATACACATAAATACAGATTATAAATTTCTGTTTTTTATATTTCGAACTTTACCTTAATGTGAACGTATCTGGACTAGGGGTGGGCCATAAGCATTTTTGAGAGGCTGCGCAATGTAATTTTTATAATTCAGGCCAGCTGGCATAATTCAGGTCAGCTTTATAATGAGGATCTGCATCACCTGATCAATAGAACCCATTGTTCATAATTCTGGTTGTTTTGTTATAAATCTAGTCAAATGATCTGCAAATCCAAGAAAAAAAAATTGAAAAAA